AGATTTTAGCAGGAAAAGAGGAGCCAAAATGTAATGAGAAATGTGATGCTGTTCTATAAAGTTAATCTCCTAACTGGATGTTTTAACAAGATGCTCCTTTGAAATAGCCCGAGGTCCTGCTCACAGCAGATGAGGGTTTCTGGAGAAGAGGCCACACAACAATAAATCACATCCTATCAGTCCTGTTTTTCAGTGAGCCTGCTGCTCCGCCACAAACAACCCTTTTATTGTGCCGATGGCGATGTTGACGTGAAGTTTATAGCGCAGACCTGATGTGTATCAGTGTGGGAACCCTAGGGTGGGAGGCTCCAGGGAGCCAAGGAAGGGTGAGGAAGATATCAAGGCCTAGCATGGTGAGTGATAGCCACAAGTTCAGGAAAACAGGAGCCGAAAGATGTAAATCATTTTTGGTTTTAATCTGAATAACCAGGTCAGAGTCCTTCCTTAGACTTTGATCCAAACAAGACAGACTCAGAAAAAAGAAGCCTATTCTCAGACAGCCAAGTCCTTATTCTATTTAACTAATCAACTAATATGATGTTGTCATTTTTAATATCTATAAATTATGTATTTTTTTATTATCCCTATGAGACAACAGGATAGCTGAATCGTCTGCAAACAGAGCTTGAGCAGTTTTCTCATGTCATTAGTATAAAGTCATTTTATTGTGGATCAAATGACTTTAAACCTGGGAACTACTTCTCATGTAGTGGAGACAAATTTCACAGATTGCAAGGTAAAATATTTTTAAAAAGAGTGCATTGGATAAACCTCTTTGCAGTCTCTACACAGTTGCCAACCTCCTGTCAATGTTCACCTGGTCTGAAGGATGTGGCCCCCGGCATGCTTTCTCCTCCACCAAGCCACCACTGCGATGTGGGCAGTGAAATGACCATCCTCATCATCAAATACTGCAAAGGTTTTCCTTTCAACTGCTGGTATGAAAACATCTCAGGCCAGGAGGGGAGGGCACAGACAGAGGGGATCACTTAAACATCTCATCCAGCACTCCGCTCGCTCTCCGTCCCTTCTTCTCCCTTTGAATTCCCCCTTAAAGGAGGAAGGGGGGGGGGGGGGGGGGGGGGCCCTCCCATAGCAACTCCCAGCCCCCCGGCTCTGCCTGCCTTTTGTCCCCCTCCCCAACAGCAGTTTCTGCTCCAGAAGCCTTAGACAAGGCCTCCATTAATTGCGGGCCTGTGTGGAATACACGTGGGACAATGGGCCCAACAGAGTGTCCGGCCCCCAGACAAGGCTGGAAACAAGTGGTACAGGAATCCGGCAGAATAGACTCGTCCTGGCTGATGTCACTGAATACATTTACCTACCTCAGAGCGCATTCACTCCGAGCTTTGTTTTATTTGGACAAAAAAAAAAAAAAAAAAAAAGGGAAAGGGGGAGGTAGCAGTATCAATGGAGAAGAGAAGCTGAAGGGGGGGCTCAAGGATGGGAAATAACTGGTCGTCATGGCGACACACTGAATCAAAAATATGGTCGTATTTAGCGAAGACAGAGATGTAAAAAGGGTAGAGGGCATTAGATTAAACCCCGCGTGAGATAAGAGAAGGCTGAAAACAGAGGTTTAGTTTCTTTTAGCGCATTCAGCCCTGTTTATACGGCAATAAAGAGCGGATAAAGGAGCGGGAGATTAGGAGACTCATCTAGGCTCATGTTTGTCAACAACAACCTGAGTAGTTTCAAGTCAGCTTATTCCAAGTCAGTACACCAGCAGAGAGGATGCTGAGCTATGGCAAGTGAAGCTGCGGAGGAAAAGGGGACCATAGCAACTGGTATTTCAGCACAACAACCTGCCATCTGTCACCTTAACGTGGTGGGTTCTTTCTCTGAAAGATGCCAACATTTAGATCTTCAACTTGGAGGCAAAGCCAATGAGACTGAAGTCTTATTGAACTCTGGGTCTCCCCCTTTGAAAAGGGAGCCCAGTCATCGCCTTATCCCTCATCAAATTGAAAAACGCTTTTTGAGATTCTAAGAGAGGCCTCACATTTAATTTTTAAAACCCAGACATGAAAGTGTTCCCAAACCACATTCAGCAGCGGAGAAGTCTTTAAAGGACTAGTTAGCATGTAGATTATATGCATTTCAGTGTATTGTCAAAGTATCTAAGTGTATTTACATGTTAATATGTTCAGGGATACTATCGTCTTGAAAAGGTGTTGGGGGAAGGTTGGTTAACTGTGTATTTTTCCTCTGTGCACCATGGGAATGTGATTTCTTTGTGCCATCAGGGTTCAAACACATTCCTGTAAGGCCATGCATATTATGAGCATCGATTCCTTGCATCAAAACAACCTGTTGATCCTGGCTATAAAGTGAAGCTCCTGTCCATAAATATACTGTAAATTTAACTTAGCTACAGCTTAAATTAGATTATTTTTTCCTTTCTGATGGATAAAAGTCCGTAGAAATCGGTTGTTTTATACCAGCGCCAAGCCGAAAAGCTTCAACAAGAGCCCTGCTGATGCACTGCCATGTGGTGCTTATCCTGATCCAAGCTTAGTCCATAACCATGAGTGTGTTTGCATTAGGATTTATGAATGTGAAGATGGCCCATTCTTGCCACTCAAGATGACTCACAAGACCAGCGTTTTTGGCCACTTACGCTGTGAAAGCAGTCCGGGGGATGCCCTTTCAGCACTCGAGGACCTCTGGCTGAGTCCCCTTCACACGGGAGATCAGCCTCACTTGGGAAAAAGTCCCTGCTCTTTACAGGGGGAGCTGTCCTGAGGGATGGCGCGCTCCTTGTCCCAGGGCCTCCCTTCTTCACCTGCCGGCTTAGTGCTCATCACTTATGCACATAATCCCTGGTTAGTGCATGTGATCCACAGGCCCGGGCCCAGGCCCCCGAGCCTCCCCTGCTCACATGCTTGCTGGGTGGCTCCTGGGTGGCCATGGCAACTCTCATCTTCTCATGACAGTTAGGCTTCAGTCATGGCTCTAAGTCCCTCTTCAGTCTCTGTACGCCTTTTTATGTCCGCTGCTCTGTGTCTCCTAAAGCCGTCCTCTGTTTGTGTGTTGCTCCATCTATGGCTCTCTGTGTCTCTTTTCTCCCAGTGTGGCTGTTCCCATGCCGAGTCTGAGAAACAGACTATAACTCAGCAACAGTGTGACACTTTCAGGAGCCACAAAAGTGCATAGTTTAAATTTAAACTACAGATCGTGGACCAAATGAAGGCCTGACCTCATTTCTATTGCGAGCCTGATCTGTAAACTGAGATTGTAAGATACACTTGTGCACTTCTTTTCAGTGTGGTCACTCCAGGCCTCTGAGTGCAGATCATCTTACGTCGACGCAACCCGGCAGCCTCAACCATTAGTTTGTTTAAAGTGCTGAATATCGCACGGGCCCTCGAGGGAGAGCGAGAGAGGCAACCCAGCAATGTTGTGTGGCCCCACACTAACAAGTGTCACAGTGATCCGGGCCGGTCCTCCCCCTGTGTGAACGCCATGTGAGAGGCGGCTCCATCCATGCCCCTGCCACCTCAACACAAGGCCCTCCATTGACTTCTAACCTGTTGAGGGACCACGGGGGACAAAGAGCTGCGGGGTGGGGCCCGTCCCTCCAACAAGCCTGTGAACAAACGTTAACACGGCTGCATCTGTCCACCCCCTGAATCGCTGAATTTATTGACCAACCACAGAGCCCATTCAGGCCTGGTAGGACTGATAAAGGAAGGGGGACAGGGACGCCACGAAGGGCCGGAGAAGGAGCCCATGCTTACGGGACAGGAGGGAGGAGAAGGCCTTTGTGGCCGTCTGGTAGGTCACAGACCTTTTACCAGACGTGGTTGCCTTTGTATCATCTGTAAAATGAGGCCAACCGTAAGTGAGCATCAGGTTGGCCTTGTGTCCCGACTATAAATCAAGACGAGGGCGTTATGAGTGTTGAAATACTTTCAGAGAAGCTGCAGCAGATTGACATCTGATCGCAGACTCTATGAAGAATAAGTGAAGGCATGCGTTTGCTAACAAGACACATTGAGAAAGCACCTGAAATGATAACTTTTGCTGCACAAAAGTGTGTAACAGTGGCTGTTACTCTACAATTTATTCTAAGCAGTCCTGATCACTTGGCGGGGACTGTTGTGAGTAAAGAAACAAAGACTAGGCATCGGCCCAAAGTACACAACTCAGACAAAAAACCGTATGGGTAGAAGAGAAAGGAGATGAAGTCCAAAATGTTTGAAATAGCACACGTCTGAGCGCAAGCTTGAGAAAATCTTTTTGAGCGAGTAGCTGGCTGTGAGGAAGAAAGGCTGTGTGTTTTAGCTTCTTTAAGTCTCTCCACCACTCTCCATCTGTTGCTCTACCGATACAAAAGGAATACAGCAGAGTACACAAAAACCCATATTGCTTTGTGGAGAGGCAACACTATCCACCAAACTACATCGCAAACACGGATCGAAAGCAAGACATCCCGGCTCTGTGCACATCAGTGTTTACTGAAAAGATGATCCGTGCAAGTCAGGGAGACACACATGAATTCATGATGCCTCCTCATCCTCATCATGAATATTCCCAAAAAGGCTCTTCCCTGATCTGTGGGAGATTCTTTTCTTTTTGGGACAAGCGAGGACCCCCTTCCCTTTTTCACCGTCCCCCTTAAATCCACCCATTCACTGCCTGTAGGCCCTGATCTCCACATGAAATGATACCCCTCTTTCTCCTCCACTCTCGCGCCTTTAAGCGCCCATATGCCAGGCAGCGAGGAGGCTGGGAAAGCCCATAATTGATCAGTAAGTCTTGGCTGAAAAAGTGTGACCAGGGTCAGCCCCCCAACGAAGCACGCAAGAGTGGCTTAATATACAGATTTATTGGGAAATGTAACGGGAGTTCTGCAGAGCAAACAGGGATATTTGTTGCCAAACACTGAAACATTTTGTTGAAATAAGAAAAGTACAAATACTGTATTGCTATTTTCAAAAACGTATTCCCTTAGTAAATGTTATTTCTTATGGTAATAAAGAGGAAATGTAGGTGAGTAATTGTCATATTTCACATTTATTTCATTTTTAGTTACATAAAAATATATACAAATCAAACGTTAAAATCAACTGTTATAAAACACAGCAGCAAGTGTCTCATTGATTCATTATATTGCTTTAATAATCAAAACATTATCAGTCATGTACAGTACCTTAGTGATGTTAAACGCTGTAATTATGTTTCCTTGCAAACAAAGAAAGTCGTATTTTGAGGAAAAGAGCATAAATATTTTATAATAATAATCAACGGACAAATTATTTAGATTTTCTTATGAACTGACGCACTCTCTTGCTCTGTCTTTCACGCAACCACACACACACACACACACACACACACACACACACACACACACACACACACACACACACACACACACACACAGTCAGCGGCAATACAATTTTTAAAAAGGGACACAGAATTTCTGCTTCTCTCTTCCACAGGAAGAATTTCAACCGAAGCAACTCTAAGACAGAACTGCAGCAGTGGAATGTTTTCTGTCTTAGAAATACAACAGTACCAGTTATGTTCATAAAATTGCTAAAATGTGTAAGTGTTTCATGTTTCTAAGAATCCATATGACCTAAAACTGTTTTACAACTTTTAGATTTTAGCAGCAGCTAAAGATAGTTTGTATGTTTGTATTTTCAGTGAAGCAGACATAATTATCCAGTGCTTTCAGGCCTTAAATGGATGTGGTTGAAATATTTTAAATAAAGTAATGGGTCACGTAATTAAAAATGTTTAAAACTAGAGACCATGCTGCGATGGGATCACAGCAGTCACGACGCCAAATTGGGCCAGGGGCGTAAAGTGTGTGTGTGTGTGTGGGGGGGGGGCTTAACCCACTTCACACCTACCCTTCTTTGAACTTGACCTTTATTTTGATCTCAACTACACACCTGTAAAGTTTCATGTCTGCTTCTTGCCGTCGGTTGTGATGCCATCGTGTTGATAAGAAGTTCTCAAAACCGCCTCTGTAGCAGTTTCTGCTACAGTAGGGCTGCGGTCGAAAAATCTAAAAGTTAACTCCTAACATCTATTCCTAACCACTTTTCCTTGACCTCGATGGAAAACATCATAGGGTCAAGGAAAGATGTGAAGGAGAATTCATAAGGATTTAGGAAAAGAGAACGAACCGCAGTGCTCAGAAAAAACGACTCCACTTTCACTAAACTACATCATTATTATGCAACGGTGGATGTCAACGACGTAGGTTTACGATGGCGAAACTACAACGAAGGAGGACTACAAAAAGCAAAACATGACCGGATTCAACTGTTTGGTTAGTTTTGTCTTTTTAATAGTTTTTCATAGGCCTAGCTTGTTTTCTTGTTTTCTTTACTGATGCTTCTTGTTATTGAGAATGAGAATTTGTTTATTGACAGTTTGCTATATTTACTGTTCATTATATTTTGTATTCTTGTTTTGTTTTCTTACTTATTTGTTAAATGTTCGAAGTAAATAAATGCATATGAAATGAAACGTAAGGATTGTCACCGTCTATTCATATTCATCAACATGAATCCCATTACTTTATGATTATATGATAATAATTGTTAAACCTGTGCAAGATAGGCAAGATGTGCAAAGACGTTTGTTTTCATGGACGGCCGAATGATGCGTCACTTTAAATGTTGCCACCGCAAGGAATTGGGGGGAGGCTTTATCTACTTTCCTTTGGTAAAGGATGGTCCAGGGTTTCCTATGCCAAAGGAGCTAAGTAAGGAAGCATTGAAGCACCTTTCCTCAGCATTTAGAGACATCGAACAGCTCTCATCATGGCGGCCACTTAGATAGTTCCGGGTCATTCCACTCAGTTAGGAACCGTCAAGCAAAAAGGACTTTTCGACCGCAGCCCTGGTGTCTCCAGGACCACATTTTGCCACGACGAGACACACAAGGAGAAAACAATACCTTGTGTTGCTGTCACGGCTGGTGACAATTAAAAGACTTATTTGATGTCAAGTGTTGTTTTAGCATTTTGTATGGCACTAGTAGTAACATTTGACTTAGTAAGACATCAGGTCATCTTAAAGTAATACTTTAACATTTTGGGATATATGCTAATTTTCTTCTCTTCTCAGCAAGAGAGCGAAGAGGTGTTCCATATTTCCAAAAGTGTTGAACTATTCCTTTAACAGAAGCCTCTGGCTCCAGTTTCAGCAGTGCGACAAGTGCAGAGTGTCTGTTCATTCTGATGAAGTTAATCAAAACAAAAGAGAACTTCATGTATGAGGAGCTCACAATGTCGGTCATTCGTTGCACTAGGAAGCCTCACCTTTATGAGGCTCCTGGATTGGTCGCTGGCATCCTGCGGGTTCCACGTCCCACACACATCATCCGAGCGTCCGTCACATCTCTGAGCTCAACTCAAGCTAAGGTTTTAGGTTTAGTCTGTGCAGTAGTTTGCTTGTTGGTCACGTTGGTGTCAGAGGGGGGCAGAGATGTGGGATTGTAGATCGCTGGCGTAGGTGACAGTGGAGTGTCTGGGAGGCCAGTCGGCGGCGTCCTGCAGCTCCAGGGCCAGGTGCATGTAGCGCACCCTCGGGGGCTTGTTTCTCAGACAGAACAACCAGGAGAGGAAGAACGAGCCCCAGCGATCATTGGCCTCCTGGGAACACGTAAAGTATGAGAAACCAGGCAGCAAGTCAGCAATATGCATGTCTTTACATTATCTCTGCTGAACGCATGAGTGAGGCAGTTTTGTGACCAAAGCACCTAATGTGTTAGATTTTATTCAAGTTGCAGTAACAGACTCCTGCACTAGTGATTCCTGAAAAGACCGCTGATTGATTCAAGAGATCAGCCGAAATACATTTTTAACACAAGGACCAAATGAAATAGTCGTAGACTGAAAGATGAGCTATTGGATTATAACATTTAATATTAATTTTTTAGATTTAGTTTTTGATTATTTATACAGCATGTAACAGGACATCGGAGAAAAAAATGAAGCAAGAGAATTTAGAGAGTTAAAAGTTAATGTACCGAAATCTTTCATTAAAGTGAAACCAGACAAAACAAAAGTGAAGTCAAAAGCTTCCCAACCTGAGGAGTGTCAGCAGAGGGGGGCTCTGCGGGGCGATTTACCCCCTGATTGCATCTGAAAACTAGCCTCCGCAAGATGATGTCAAGGATCAAAATCTACGGGAGAGTTCAGTGGGAACTTCAGAATACGCTGATCATGAAGATTGGGTTACAGCCACAGAAACGCACAGAGACATAACTCAAAAGCAAACTTGAAAAAAAGAAATATGATTCATTGATTTCATTCATTAGGCAGGAAAAAAAAAAAAATCAATGCATGCCAATGCAGTCACAGTATTCTAATCAAAAGAGGAGATCAGTCACAGAGAGCGTGCAGGGTGTGATGTCTTGTACCTCCAGCATGAAAGACACCGCCGCATTCACTATGACAATGATGACCAGTGTAACGCGCCAGTCATGGGGAACACACACGATCTGAGTGGAGGCAGAGCAGCAGGAAGAGAGCACTGAATGCAAAACCACACACACACACACCATCAACGTCATGCACCGTCCCGGCAGCCATTGTTACACCTTCACTCTTCTTCCAAAACGTTTCTCTACTTTCACGTTTCTTGCTGTTCAAATCTACAACCGGGACATATGTTGTATATTTTACAGCAGGCAGCACAACAAAAACAAAACATTAGAAAAAGCAAGCTCACCTCCAGGAAGCTGTCGATGGCAGGAACAGGATACAGCATGATGAGGAGGACAAAAGTATACAGACTGATACAGGACAGCATGAACGGCCCTGATAAACAAAATGAAGTGACGCCAGCTTGAATGGTAGTTTTCAATTTGCAAGAATACCAAACATAAGTGATTAGTGCCAGTAGAGATTGTAATACATTTGTTTGTCATACTCATATTGAAGTGATAAATAAATGGCTTTAAAACAGGAATGCATGTATTTATCAAATTAATTCAAATTTGAAAAACTGAATTTAAAATTGGAGTTTAAAATTACAGTTTACTTTTCAATCAATCTTTATTAATTCAAATCATACCTCTTCTAATTGTAATGCTTTTTCAGCATTGTAAAAAATACGTTCTGTGCCGATTATAATCTCTTTCCATGCGCATCGCACTGACGATCAATCATCGCTACGAATAAATAAGTCTCACAGTTCTTGTAGCTCGGCTGTCTGAAGGGCTTTCCTTTGGAGAAAATGATGGCTACAGCCAAATACTGGAAGGAGGAGACGTAGAAGAGGGTGGTGTTCTCGTAGTTCTTGATGTTTTTGTGGTCGTGGGGGCTCGTTACATTTCGGCTGTGAGAGAGACCGGAGCTGGAAACATTACAGGCACTAAAGGAGGAGAGAAGCAGATAGTTATTGCAAACCTCTGGAAAGTTCTGCATTCATAAATTAGAAAACAATAAGACAAAAGATGTAAGACTTTTTGGGCTTTCTGTACTACTGTTTTTCTTGTTTGTCTACTGACCAGCTTACCTTATTTAAAATCTGTTACTGTATCTAACCACAATTTCCCCGGCAGATACTATATGAATAAAAACAAGGCAGTAGACAAGTCAGACTAGTAATAAAACAAATGAGATGGACAGTGTATTTATTTTGCTTGCCTCTACCCCATTATGTTCATTAGCCAAGTAAACCACCCAGACAGAAGAATAACCACTATGTGAACAAAGCCTGAAAATCAGACCGAATTGTTTGTTTCACCTCATTATTTTGTTTTGATTTTTTTCTTTATTGGGGATGTGTGCAGCAATAACAGTTTGGAACCAGCGTGAAGTGTGCAGCTGGGATAATATGTAATCATTTATTTTAAAGCTGGAGAGAAGGCCGAGAAAAAAGTCTGTATATAGTAGCATTTACATATATTTTACAACCAGTGATTTACTGATTCATAATTTTTGCTGGAGCTAATTTCAGGTATGTTACTCACTCTGACTGAGGCGTCCATGTCTCATACCAGCTCTGCTGTCGTACGAGGAGGAAAGCCAGGACCTGGAAGACCAGGCAGGTGAGGATCTGGGTCAGAACTGAGCAGAGCAGCCGGCCGGATATCAGACTGGAGGGCGGGCGGTGCCACACCAGCTCCTTCCATGCCGGGTTTAGACTCACTGAAGACAGAAGTTACTGCGTGTTAATACTGCAAGTTAAAATAATCAATTGCTTTTTGTAGAACCCCACCAAATTCAAACGTTGATTAAAAGCTTTTTTATTTTCATGCTGCTCACTTGTGAAGGCAATGATGAGAATGATGGCGATGTCAATGAAGAGGAACTGGAAGTCTCCCAAGTTGCTGAGAATCTACAATATCAGGAAATAAAGCATGATGAACTTTCTGTCTGTCACGTGGGAACCGTACCAGTGTTTGTAACTCAATGGCACAAACCTCCCAAGTTAACAGATGCAGGACCTTCAATAACATGTAACAAAACATGTTGCTTTCACCTTATCACATTTAAAGCACCAAGGACATGGATAAACACCAAGCATTATGCAGCTGGAAACATCAAACATATTACATTCTCAAAGAGGAGGAATAAATTGTTACAACAAAAAGTGTTTGTTTTTGCATTTACCGAATAGAGCAAAGAGACACTGAGGTACTGGATGATGCTGTAGAGAGCCATGAACTTGAACACGCAGAATGATGTTATGAGGGCAGCTCGGCCCTCTCTTATGAAGAAAAGAAATTCAGAGATAATCAGAATCAATAGAAAAAGGTTAAAAGGACAATTATCACAGTTGGCACCAAAATGTAAAAGTAAAACTGAGAATGTTATTAAGTGTGTACCCTGTGTCTGTATCGTTACACCCCTGGTGGTTACTGACAGAACTGATGCGACGATGATCATACTTTGTCGTGCATTTCTGAAATGTCAAATTCTGTAATCCGTATGTTTTTTGTGAGTTGCTACCTGATAAGGTTGGGGACACAGGAGATGTTTGAGGTGGTGGAGGTGAACGGTGAAGCAACAGAAGCCTCTAGCTCAGACAGAGAGATCCCACAGTGAGCTCTCTTCAAAGCCTGAGAAAAAGTTGGTGTCACTGTTTATTACAATATTACCAATAAGAAGAGGTGGGAGTTTCAATGTGACACACCTCTATTTGTGTAATTAGATTTTTCAGACCTTTACTACATTTCCGGTGGAAATATTTTACATTTTTGATACTACTTACTAGTATCATATATTAACTTTGAAATATAAGGTTTTACATTAGAAACATTACATTATATATGGATATATGTGGGTCTGGATATACCACTTACAACTTTTGAATTGTAAAAATATTTCAACACAAAATAATTGTTGGATAGTTGACTATTTTTCAAATGTGATAATGGATTTTTTTTTCGTAAAGGAGCAACAAACCACTGCCTTCACACTCATTTGCTTTTACAAAGTTCCAAGTGTTCTGTCAATTTTTCTGCAGATCCTGAGAGCCAATCAGACACCGGCATGTAAGCTGCTTTACAAAGGTGTCATCAGTCTTGTAATGGGATAAAGTACATTGATGTCATGATTTGAAAAAAATAATGAATAATCCATACTTACTCCACAGTCATTTGCACCATCACCACACATCCCAACAGTGTAGCTGGAAGGAGAACAGCGGGTGAAAGTTGTACATTTGCCAGTGGTGATGAATCTTTTTAATCACATGAACGTCAACAGTTGAAAATCAAGCTCATCAACAGATTAACAGCTGAAGCCACAAACGCATGAGAGACTCACTCAATGCCCTGCAAGACTTCCACCAGCTGAGTCTTCTGGTCTGGAGCCATGCGGGCAAACACAGTGGCTTTGAGCACGAGCTGCAGCGCCCCCGTGTGGAGAGACAAAGAATTACAGCAGAATCCAAACGACATGATATCGGCGTGGTAAGACAGAAACGAAAACTGCCCCTGATGTAAACCGAATACCAAATCTGAACAGGTGTTTGTGTCTGAAGATGAACCTGTACCTTTTGGACGAGTTGAGGGAAGTGCTCAGTGATTACAGCGAAGGCTCTGCCAGTCACAGCAAAGTGATAGCTTTGTTCCTGCTCAGTAACTCTCTTGTCATATACCCCGTCCTCCAGGTTTATCTCCACAGTCTGAAGGACAAACGATGAGTCAATACCCCTCAAACACCAGAAAACTATATTATCTTACATGACTTGTGGAAGATTCAATGGGACACCTTTTGGGCATGAAAACAAAAGCCTATTGTGATCAGCTCAAATTATTTTTGGAGCAGTTTTAACTTTCCCAGGCTAATAAAGATAGAGAATACAAATATTCTCTACCATGAACAGGCTTTTGTGTTTTAACATATATTGATTTTATTTATTACTCAGTGGCCCGGAGGCTTTTTGTCTCACCTGATTGTCCTTGTTGGTCTGAGCTGGGTTGTCAGTGTCATGCCATGTGATACTAGCAGGGTGGAAATCCTTCGGAGGTGCAGCATCTGCAATAATGACCCGCTCATGTGCGCGCACCATCCCACAATCTCGAGTCACAGATATTGCTGTCAACATGTTGTCACCTAACATAAAAGAGAGAAAAAGAGTGAAATAAGAGAACGTACTGATGTTGAAATTCGGAATGATGTCCTTTACATATCAGCTGTCGATGCAATGATGACATGACATTAAAACAAATGTAATTAGTGGATAAAGTGACAAAACTGATTCACCTGTGACCATCAAAGTGCGGATGTTAGCTTGCCGTAATTCAAGTAAAACCCCAGCTGTCTCCTCTTTTATTTTGTTCTGCATGATCACCAAACCAAGGAACTCCATGTTGGTTTCTATCAGGTCCCTAAAAGCAACAAATATAAACAATAGATCATAGACACCATATATTGACAACTACCGTACAAAATTCATGCTTCAAGTCACTTTATAGAATCTGAGAACAATTATTTTTCTATCTTGCCTTTCTGCTAACCTTTCCTGTCCTTTCTATGGAAGTTAAAAATGTCCTACATTGAGCAGAATGATTTAAAACATCCACAATCAGAAATTAATGTGTTGTTTTCAATGAAATGGTCACATGGGCTTGTTATCTAGCAATATAACCAAACAGCTAAATAACATTTTACGCCCAAGTTACGCCCTTCAACATAAGATGGATTTTTCCCCGCAGGTTGTTGAGAGTACAAAATTGTGAGTCCAGCAAGCAGCTTGGAGTTTGTTTCAGAGATAACACCATGACCTGACATTTCCGCATGTTTTAGTGCAAGTAGCACTGTAAATATTTGGACAGATTTTTAACAGTTAGTGATTTGGGGTCTCTGCCAGTAGCTACGTGCAGTGTTATCTGTGGAGGGAAGAGTACCTGCTGAGGCTCTGGACTTTGTGCCAGGAGAGTTTTGACTCCAGCTGTCGATGTGCCAGGGCAATAACCCTGAAGCCCTGCCTGGTGTAGGTCTCCAGAGTCTCTGTGAAGCTCTGAGGGACTGAAGAGAGTGACAGAGCCACGTCAGTCTGGCCTTTGTTAAGACGAGTGCAGTATGTGGAAGAGATATAGAGGCCGTAATCAAAGACACTGAAATCCTTGTTTTATTTACTGTTCATTACTTTGTGTATCTTCATAGCGATGCCAAATGAAGGGAGGAAATATCCACCCAAACCTTTAACATAGAGAGGAAGTGTCAAACCTGTGTGCTGTTTGCAGAGGCTGGCCACAACCTCCGGTGCTCCTTTCAAGTAAGCATTCATGTGTTTTTCACCCAGCCTCCTGACCACCACACTCATCCTCTGCAGGGTGGAGGAGAAGGGGAACTGACGCACAATACCAATCTCACAGGACTGGGGAGAAGAAGACACGATGTATACATGTTCAGTGCAAAAAAAAACAACTTCAAATCAGTTTATAGTTCACCTTCGGTGTAAAACAAATAAGAAGATCGTCCTCTCATGTCTGTATGTTAAATATGGAGCAACAGCAAAGAGATTCTTAGCTTAGCTTAGCATAAAGGCTTGAAACAAGGGGAAACAGCTAGCCTGGCTCTGAAGAACCATCTGTCAACCAGGACCTGGAGTCACGTCATCACTTCGAGGTTGCCAGGCAATCTACATGTAACCCCCCCTGTAAAACCACAATCTACAGTTTTTACACGTACAGATTGACCGGACATGACATAGCGTGTTAATTAGTGAGTCCCTGTTTCCAGTCTTTATGTCACGCTAAGCTAACCAGTCGCTGGCAGTAGCTTCATATTTAATATAAAAACATGAGATTAGTATCAATCTTTTCATGTAACTCTTTGCAAGAAAGTGAATAAGGGTATTTTCCTAAATGTCGACGTATTTGCTGTAAGAAATATGAAGATTTCATGAAAAAAGGACGACTTACTGATAATGCAGACAGCTCCTGGGAAAAGGATTTAATAATGGTATAATTTGAGGTCAGGCAACTACAACTATATTATCTTTACAGCTATAGAAAAATATACTGATCACAAATTAATGACAGGGAGAGTTACTGTACCATGTTGTGAGTTAGTGGATTGTTCTGGTTGGCTTCAGGGACGGAGTGCTTTGGAGGTCGCACCACTGTGGGCATTATGGGATTGTGGAGTGTAGTCTCTTCCTCTGTGGGCTCCTCTAGGATCTAACAAAAATGAGATCATATGATATCTTAATAACATGTTGAGCTTGTAGACTCCTTCACACTTAGTCTAACCTTAGTCCATGCTTCCTCTTGAAAGGAAGAGGCATTTTCTGCTGTTGATGCTGAAGTATCCATGGAACCAGACCGTAACCACTTTAGCCAAGAAGAGCTTTCTCTGCCAATGCCATGAGCGTGGTGCTGCATAATTCATGTACAGACCGGTATCCCAGCTAGTTGCGGTGCCGGTGACTAAGCTCGTTAGGTGTAAACATTGAAAATCTTTGCTTACCCAGCCTGTAGCGCTGAACATCTTGAGGTCTAGAGGGTCTCCGGAGAGCTCGCCCTCGATCTTGGTCAGTGAGTGGCAGGCAGCCATGCAGGCCACAAATGCAGTGTTAACCAGACTTTCTTTAGCTGCATCAGCCTCTGGGGGAGAAAATCTGTGATAGGAAGGGAGGAGAGAAGGATGATACTGTTTTAAATGGCTGATGCTGAATCAAATTGAAGGGAATTTAAAAACTATCCTTTTTTCCAGAGAGAGTTAAGAATCAAAATGTTAATAACAACTCCACATAAAAACATAGTGCTCTTTTACTGATTTAAGTAAACAAAGGTTTTGTTTTTCTTTCTCTAATGTACTCGGAAGGTACAGTCGGTGTACTGAAGGCCAAAGCAGACAAGTCTTTCTTTCAGATCTCTCAGGTGTGTAAACTGAACAATCAACTGAGAAACTGTTTAGAGATAGAATAGATAGAAAATGAAATACCCAATAGAAACGTCATCTCATCCGTTTTGTGGTTACTCTCAGAGAAACTCATACAGATGTTTTTGCAAAAAAGACAAATACAAGAGGCTCTCTTTTACCTGCCACCTTCAGCTGACTGAACACCCCACAGGTCCAAACCATCTTCTGTCAGAGTACCAGTCTGGAGGAAAACATACAGACATTTAATGCACCAACACAAACCGTATTAATCACGCCCCAGAGTAGGAAATCAATGCTAATAAGCCTCAATTCTAAGAGGTACAGAAATGTACTTTGTCTTATGCTTGAATCATGAAAGTAAAATAAATAATTGAACTTTCTTTATCTCTTTTCGTAATGTACAACATATATAGAAATATAACATTGAAGAATTAAAACTGTGAGCTTCTTAAAAGAAATGGTCTGACTGCAACACTTGGCTGCTGGTTTATGCCGGAATGTTGTGGTTCTATCCAAAAAAATAAAAATAAAATAAACAGTTAAGACACTTTCAGGCAGTATGACACCACAGCTATGGAAGTGCTTTGGACAATCTGCACAATCACAAACCAAACTTTGATTTCAGGCTGCGACTAATTATTTTTTTCAGTAAATGAATGAATCCGTTTGTTTCAATTCATTTCTCAATTGTTAAAGATGCTGAAAAATGCCAAAGCTGACAATTTGCTTGTTTAATGTGACCAACAGTGCAAAACCAAAAGACATAAATTCACATTTCACTTAAAAAGTGACAAACGATTAATCGGTTGCCAGAATGAATAATCGTTTCAGCTCTACTTTGATTGATCCTTTTGCACCAACAGTATCAAACGTATCTCCATAGTCACTCAATGTGACGTAATGAGGAATGTTTCACACTATAGGAAGTTTATTTTTTAGATATTTCAAGGTCACATTATAGATTGAGATGCTTTCCAATTGAATCGATAACATTAACATAATTTAAGAAGCATTATGCTTGGTGCTGTGGCCAAATGGAATCAATGTTCAACTGCATCACTGCCTCAAGACATCATGACTCATCGTAAGTTGTGATTTTGACGGTCCTAAAAACACGAAGTCCTTCTCCTTGTACTTGAACTGGAAGTGGGTTTGGATGCCTCATAACTAACTTTCCCGCATTCTAAATTAGGAATTTAGTCAGTCTAAGTTAAGCAATCCTAGAAATGATGATAGTATAGCAACATATGATGCTTCAGACTACCTTGTCAAAACAAACCAGGTTCAGTTGACCGCACATGTTGATCCTCTGAGGACTGATGCAAAAGATGCCGACTCTCTTCAGACGACGCTGCGCGTACACGATACCAGCTGTCATGGCTGCCGGTAGAGCGGGCGGCACGGTGATGGTGATGATGTCCAGAGACTCGATGATGATGGTTTTAGCTGGAACCTGGATGAGATCGATGAGGAACCATCAATGACTGACAAAGACAGATTTCTATAGGACGATAGAATCCTAAAGTCTCTTTGAGATCCAGCATCCAAATGTGAGCTTCTCCTCTGGTGTCCCAGAAGAACAGGTTACCTTGTTCATGATACTGAGGACGATGGTGTAGATGAAGCCGATGCCTGCCACTCCCACCAGACACAACAAGAAAAGGTAAGCGTCACGGTACAGCTTGAAGTCTGTGGGTTTAGGGTGGAGGATGGAGCGCACAAGTTGGCCTTTCTCTGTACTGAAGCCTGTGGCAACACATAAGTGATGACATTTGATTATTTTCATCTTCTTGTGAATACGTTCAACCCTGAGGGCGATCAGTCTACAGAGAAAGCTAAATTATCAAAGCTATTTTCATAATGAAGGCCGCAAGCTGTTATTCCCACTGCGTTTTTCCCCTCCGTCTCACCTGTTCTGACTACAACAGCCTCCACCAGCTCTGCAGTGTAGAAGCGCGTCTGAATGACGTGGGTACCACAGAACAGGGTGTATCTCTTATGCTCCTCCATGTTGAAGCTGCTGGACGCCTCCTCGCCTGAACTGGGCAGACTTGTCTTGGTAACTGGCACGCTCTCTCCTGAAGATGGACGGAGGATTAAAATCAAATAAAACACCTTAAAACAGAACAAAAGCTGCAGAGTTGTGCGCTATTTAAAATAATGAATCAACCAAAATATTGCACCAAACCAAGAAAGTTGCCCACGGAATGTGATAAAACTATTATTTTGTTGACTTTCATGAATTCATAGTTGTGTGGATGGCACAGAGAGATAAACCACGATTGATTTCATAATATACGTAGTTACCTTTGTTGTATTATTATTTATGACAGATATTCATATTAGTGAAGGTCGCCAAAGTTGTAGGTCTCAAGACCACATTGTGAAGGTCTTTCTCTGTCCCCTCTCAGAATCTCCTGCATCTTTAGTAGGTTTTGTGTCAAGAGCTCTGGATTCTTTTTCAAGACCACAACTGTGGGGCTGTCGCTAAATTGCCTGTGAATTGTCTGATTTATTTGTTGACATCATAAACTGTGATTATTCATTGACAACAAAGGAATATTCACACACATAATAATAATAATAATAATTCACCTCTGCAATGCCTTTTGATTATATTTCATGTACATGTACAGTATGTACGGCAATAAAGAGGTGAATGTAGAGGAATCTTCATTTGTTTTCTGTGGGAATGTGAATTTTTCAGATCAATTGGAGAACTGCCTCTGGTTTGCATGTTCCACATTTTATCGTAACTGTGTCAGTGTGGGACTCGCCCTGACTTGGTCTTAGTCTTGACCCCTCAACGTCTTTGTCTTGTCTCGTGACTTAGGTCTCGGTTTAGGTGGCCTTGACTACAACACTGTTAGTAGCAGCAGCGGAAGCACTAAAACACATCAGCTGGCTGTATCAGTAGTACCAATAGTACAAGCTGAGCAGCATGATCTTTCAAAAACAGCGGTAATCACTTTTGTCAAGACAATAAAAATGAAGGCCAGTTCTCTCGTGTGTGTCTAAATAATAAAACAAACGAAAATAAGACACCTTGGAAATAGTAGTTTGACAAAAAAAAATCTTAACTCAAAGTCCATTTGCTAGCTTTTCCCAGGACGTACAACAGGAAAACTCCATGAAAACTGAGTAAGCTCCGTCTGCTGATGAAGACCTTGAGATGCAGTGAAAAGCTCTGGGAAAAGCTAACAAGTACACATTGGGTTAAGATTTTTTTTGTGCGATAGTATAAGTATATACTATAAGTATAAGGATATACAACCTGTCAACATGCTCTCATTTACAATGCAGGTCCCATGTACGAGCACAGCGTCGCAGGGCATGATCATCCCATTGACTGGAATAATGATGACATCACCGGGCACAAGATCTGTTGACATGGCCTGTTCAATATCTAGGAACAACGTTGAGCGGGAATGAGACACACTCTCTCTGCAGGGAATCATGAGGATGCTACTAGAGATCAATAATGTGATTCATGCATTACGGAATAACAGAAAAAAAAGACTAGGACTTAAATACAATACTATATCAAATGTAAACACTATAACGCCTTCAAAACATAAAGACATCAACATTAGTCATTCCTGAATAATTGACAGTCTTGTTTTCACTCATAGCCAGAGAGTAAAACATACCTTTACTTCCTCTGCACACTGAAACACGGACCACGCTGTGTGCTGCCACCATATCATGCAGCATCACATATTGCTGGAATAAGAGAGACACAGTATCATAGAAGGCTTCTGGAGACACACAAGATGCTGAATAGAGACTTCTCTGGACAAGATTATTCAGGGCATTTCCTACAAAAACTGCTGTTCCTGTATGACTCACGTTTTTAATGGTGTACAGTGAGGTAGCTATTGAAATCACAGACATAAAAACTATGGCTGTGGCATAATAGTAGTAGTCCTCAGCACTCCAAAGGATGACACTGAAGAGCTGGAAGATGTAGAAGGGATTCAACACCTGATGGAGGAAGAGAAAGAAACACGTCAAAGATTAGCATTAGTGTGGTTAGTATGCTAACAAAAAAAAAAAAAAGGGGTAGATGTGATATTAAAGAGCTCTGAACTTACTTCCTTTATGAGGAGCTTGAATAGAGACGGCACTCTTACAGCAATCTCATTCTCCCCGAAAAACAACCTCCTAATAGAAAAAACAGGAATTTTAAGCAGTTTGTAACTTTAACATGGTCACATGCCTGAGGGGCAGTTTATTTGTGGATGCTTGCTCTGTGGTTAATAAGAAAAATGGTATCTGTAGGAATAGATAGAAATCTGTGTGTACCTGTAGTCCTGCAGTGTTTTAGAAAGTCCAGAGCTGTGGTCAGAGTGGATGCTCGCACAGCTCACCTTCACATCCTCCAAGCCTCTAGAAAAGTCACACACATTCATTTCTACTGGGCAACACACAAAGTATGCATACTGTACCAGCTATTCAATAGCAGACATTTAGTTTATTTAGCAAAGATATAATAAACTATTTCCAAATACAAGCACGTTGTTTTTCATCTGGACTCTTACTTGTACAATTCAAAGTTCTGTATCACATCATTCCAGTAGTATCTGGTGCTGTGGTGGGTGAAGTAGTGGATCTAAGAGGGGGAAAGAGATGGTCACATATTGACTGTGTAACAACTTTACAGACATACTTCAAAACCTGCCAATTAGTGATCGGGACACAAAACTTAAATTAATGTCTTTATACCAAACAGTTACTCAGATTACTGAATATAAATCTGGAATTAGCATCAGATGAGCAACTGAGGCACCTGAACAGGTTGTCTAAATTGCCCACGATGCTCCACGCGCTCAGCGCTGATGCCGTGCTCTCCGTCTCCGTTCGGCAGCTGGGCAGTGGACTGAAGATCCAAGCTGTCAAAGGGTTTATTCCCCGGAGCCGACATCACATGCACTTTGGCTCGAAACCACTGCTTGAACTCATCCTGTTTAGTAATATAAATTTCCTCGGCTGTTAGACCACGCTGAATTTATAATTTGGCGCGTAATTCGGTGTGTGTCAAAAAATGTAACACCTGTCAGAATGATTTATGAGCAGCAGCACAAGAGCAAACTCACAATTCTGTGAAAGAAGAAGTGGACTCACCCACAAATAAAGCTATCGTAAAAACATTTTCTTCTTTGTTTCTTTGTTTAAGCGGAGGAACACAGCAATAGCCTCATTTACAAACGCTGAATTTACTTTAATTATTTTCCTTGTTTGAAAAACAACTTACAGAGAAAAATTGTTGTGTGAAAAAAGAACGGAAATTCTGCCGTTTTCCTACCGTGGTCCTGAGCAGAAGTGTGTGTGCGTTCCTCAGCGAGGTGTGTGTGCAGGTGCCCTTAACGCCCCACTCAGGCAGCCAGTAGAGCAGGAGCAGCAGGAGACCCCCGGAGAACACAGCACCTACACCCACCAGGATCCTCTTCCACAGACAGGGCTGGTAACCCCACACCTCCTGCACGGCCAAACACTCATGTTATCACACTGAGGAGTGAGACGAATATACTGCTCAGTGGCTCGTGATGTGGGACAATTAAATACAATCTTAAAATAAAGCTGGTACTTTTCTGTATTTCTCTTATTGACAACAAAGCCCATGACCCATTTAGCGCATCAAGTCTTTTTCGACAAAAGGAAAAAAAAATTCTTCAAGTGAGCGTAAAACTTTTTTTCACATTGACATTTCAAGAGAGCTTTTCTGATGCAATACTTCAAAATGTGCAAAAAAATATGTGAATGGAAACACGGCAAATGTAATTGTCCATCTCTCTTAACAGACCTTTTTAATAGCAGACATTTTGACTTGTTATAGTTGGAAAGCAAACAAGGGTTAATAATAATAATAATAAATAACAACATCAACGATCTGTTCTATATTCTAGAGTCCCAGTAAGCCATGACAGTGAGCCAGCATGCACATCACCAGAGAGCAGCTAATCTGTGCTTTTCCTACTGTGACATGTCAAAATGTCAATGTGAAAAAGGACAATATCTTTCTACGGTCATTGCCGAGGTATTTTTTAGGTGTTTTTATGAAGAAAAAGCTTGTATATTTTCTTAAACAGCTGAGCACTGTAGCCATCAGCAGACGTTACTCATACAGGAGTAAATACTTCATTTATTGTCAGCAGCAGATTAATACACTTTCTGGATTTTAGTGAATATTTACAGTAACAGGATGTCGTATGTGGGTTTGAATTAATAAAATAAAGCGCTCTTGTTCATTGTAATGAAGGAACATGTTATCCAGTGCAAAAGTGTTGTTTTATCAGCTATTTCAGGCTTTAGTTACACAGAGATTACTTGTCAGTAGAATTCATCTGTTGATCTTTTCATGGGAGTTGACAATAAGAAAAATAATAATTACTCCTGCCTTTTTCTTTAAAGCTGACAACATGCTGATTGCCATCTTGTCTTAGTAGTGACACACTGCAGCTGCTATAAATGAGGTAATACACATCTAATGGTGTTTTTGGCGTTTATCCGATCTACAGTAACTCTGATGGTAAGAGGAATTGTTTATTCCATTTTAGGAAACACACATGATACTCTCGTGTCCGTATGTAAATTATATGGCTACAGCCAGCAGCTGGTTAGCTTTGCTTAGCATACATACTGGAATCAGCCAGCTTGGCTTTGCTCTGTCTGAAGGTAAAACTGCTCCTAACACAAATAAGTGGATTTTAGAGCACCTGATTGGTGGATTGTATTAATTTGGGACAGAGTCAAGATAGCTGTTTTACCCTCTATTCTGACTTGTGAAATTACCAAATTCTCCAAGTTACTTTGTGTGAGTTCTGTGGCTGTCAATTGAAATCTAATTTAATGTTACATTCATTTTAATCCACACCGATACATGTACAAATGACTTATATCATTTAAAAAGGCAAAATGCTACAAACCTCCTATTGTTATCATTTGTTAACAATATAAAAACGTTAGCATTGAATGAGTCAACAGAAAAGACAATGTTGACAGGGAAAGCATTATTAAAATGAGAAATTATATTTACCATCTCATCCTCCAGACCCTGGTTTATGATCTTCACCTCTCTCGTCTGCATTGTGTCACAACTACTGCAAAGAAAAAGAACGAGCGATTACTTTATTTCAAACAGGCGCTTAACTCGCTGAAGCTTTTTTATCACAGAAGTCTTCGACTCTGTCTGGTCAGCTAAGATGTTACAACTTCTATCTAGGTCACGGGTATGAAAATATTCAGTTTTATGACTTCAGAAGCCGAAAAAAACACAGATGGAGAAAGAAAGTCAGTCACTCATTTACTACATATAGCTATAAAACAGACTGTTCCATATCTACTTGGTAAATAAAGGAAATGTCTCTTTCAAGTAACAACCTGACTGAACATAAACAGACACTGTGTTCAAAGTCTTTAATCGTTTATCGAACATTAGCTGAGATGGATATTGAAGTACAGCCTCATTTTGGCTTGATCATATTAAGTCCAGGTATGATCTGTAGGATTGTAAACTGAGCCTCGCAACTTGTTGTTGAGCGATGACGCAGTGCAGGATAAGCTGTAGTTCAATGAAACCGTTGCACCATAAACACATGTTTATTTCCAATAACAGTCACACCTGCAGTAATATTCGACTCAAAGTCCATTAGACCTGACCTCTCAAGCACCATCTTATGTGAGGTTGTTTTGAAGCAAAACATTTTTGGATTACTTCACATCCCTCTGGATTCATATGTTTTGCCTCTAAATCACAAGAAAACATATTTTAATATGTTTTTAAAAGAAAACAAATTGATCCAGGTTAGGTACAAACGTAAGACAATACACTACATCTGCTATGAAAAATGTGAAAGTGTGAGGCGCTGAACTTTTTCTCCATCTTACTTAAAGCCTGAGCAGCATCCCAAACATTAAGGCTGGTTGTGTGCAGTGATGATGCTTTTTAATGGAAGAGTGGAGGTAAGACAGTAAAATAAATGCAGCAAAAACAAAAAGAAATCCTGCTCGAAACCCTAATGCGGTCTGCAAGCCAGTCAGGGCTTTGGATGAGATTTAGTTTTCAGCCGGACAAAGACCTCAAACATAGAGCCAAAGCTACACAGGGCTGGCTTTGAAACAACTATGTTGCAGTGCTAGAGGAGCCAGAGGAGTCCACATTTCAGACCAATCCACAAATTATTGCAGGGTCACCTATTGCAACTTGCCATAACTTTTTTAGGTTTAGATAAGAAATTCCAGATGTGCAAACGTATCCACATAGACTCAACTATCGCACGCTGACCTCGGGGAGCAAGTACATCCCTGGTTTGTGTTTAGTGAATTAGATTTGTAGAGATTTCACACCGTAATCAATTAACCCAGCATAATAAAAGTTGTTACACATTAAGTCAAATGAGGTGGATACTTTTTACAGACACTGAACAGCCTCGTGTACTGTTGATCTGGTTTTAACTGCTAAAACAGAGAAACCTCAAATCGGACGTTTCCTATCAGAGCGTAAAACAAACATTTCCACACTGTTTCAACACTGGATCAGCATTAGATAATGAATGAGGAGCCATTTTCAGTCGCAGTTTGAACCACTTGTTACATATTCGTGTAAGTGTTTCGCAAGTCGCCGTTGAGCTGTGATCAAACTTAATATTCTCACGAGACAGACGTGAATATAAACACCGTGTCATTAAGCACTAATGCGTCCGCATTAACTCACCGACGACTCCTCTCTATCAATGCACGAGACGTTGCACAGACAGGCGAGTGAACCGCTGCACTAAAAGTTTGCTCGCATGCCCTTCTGCTGTCGTGCAACACTGTGGATCTGACGTGTGACAACACGCGCCCACACAACACGGATCCACGCTGCGCTCGGACCGTCCTAAACCGGTCCATTCGGAAGGAAGTGGGGGGGGACAGGATGTGAGGTCACTAAAGGACACCGCGTTTGGGCTGAATTTCTGCAACAAATCGGAGAAGACGGAGACGTATGCGAGGAGCAGTGGCGGGTGCTGAGCCTGCCATTGGTTGGAAAACACGGCCTGTTAATGCGGTGATGGTATTTCGTGTCGGTGGCAGAGAAGAAATAGTCCGACCTGGCTGAGATTTCAGCAAGTCTTTGGAAAACCTTCTGGGTCTTCATCACAGATGTTAGAACATGACTCAAAGACACAGCTGGTGTGGTTTTCAAATTTATTTGTGTTCACATTAGGATCATATCTTTATCAAATTTGCACATGGAAAAAAAACGACATGATGTGACAACAAGTCAGAGATATTTCATGACAGTTATGAAGTAAAAAGGTTTAAAGTACAAAATATGTCAACTAAAATAACAAGAAGTCAGGTGTCGTGCCATCAGGTAGACTAACATTACTGTGCGCATTCAACCTTGAGTTCATACATGTTTTCAGATTGTTGTACATTTAAAAAGAGTAAAATATCTACATGATAACTTTTCCCATGCAAATCAGCCTTTAATTTCCAATTCTTTGACAGCATCCTGTGGTTTGCCAGCTCCATGTTTCTTACCTGGAATAAGTAAATAAATCAAAGTTTTACTTTTACTCAAAAAACATCGAAGTAAGACGGTAAAGTCAAGGCGTACATCAATTGAACTTTGTCGCTTATGGAAACCACACACAAATGCAAAATAAAGAAATACCCAGATAAAACCAGCTCTCCCTGTATCAAACATTTGACGGATTTGAGCAAAACATCAGCTGAATATTGCAAACCATCAAATGCAAGGAATTCTAAAACAAGCTGCGAGAGAATAGAGGGAATGCATTTATTAAAGCTGAATTAACCGATTGTTTAGGCCACAAGTGGGCAGCGCAACAAGCTGTAAACACTTTGAATCCTCCACTATGTTAGCTATTTGCTAACTGTGTCTGTAATGTAATCAGTTCTGGGCAGAAGGCAAAATGTGGTTTTATCAGAGCAGTTGCCTGCTGATCTTGGGGTTGAGAGAAAAAAAAATACAACAACGAGACTTTGATACACTAAACTCAAGTGTTACCTTTTTTTTTGCCTTTTCCTCCTTTGCCAGCCTCCTGGCCTGCAGGCTGTCCACCAGGTGTCAGAGGAGCTGCAACACCCTTGGCTTTTGCATAAGCCACAGTCACTTTGCTGCCATCGATCTCACAGTCCTCCATGGCCTCTTTGACAGCTTTGCAGTTCTCGTCACTCTCAAACTCCACAAAGCCAAACCTGAGGAACATGTAACATAAAACAAGTCAGTGTGAAGCATGACGCAATTATTACAATTGTGACAATAAAAAGATAACTTTAGGCTACCCACATTTTTGAAACTCCTTTCTTTTTAGTTACAGTGACTCTTGCAGTGAAAGCCCCTTCAAAGGCACTTTTCAGAGTCTCTGCAGTCGTCTTCTCGGCGAGGCCCATCACAATCAGTGTTTTTGTTTGAACTAAAGAAAAAAACGCTTGTTTTCATTACTCATGAATATAAAACTAAGTTTTGAAACACTTGAAATGTATGTTTTGCGATTGAATATTAGACCTTCATGAACAGTATGATACGAACAATCCTACACACATTTTTCCTGCTCTGATTTTGCTTGCATTTTGCAGAATTGTACTCTGGTATCCCTTTTATCGATTTTCATGTTTTTGGATGACTGCAAGGCCTTTTCAGCATCTTCCACAGCTGCAAACTCGACAAACGCAAACCTGCAGAGGATTACACATGTTTCTTTAGAATATTTAAATACTGCCTTCACTGGAAACAAAATAAAGACCAGTGTACATGTTCTTACCCCCTTGATTTGCCTTCGGATCTAGGTACGTTGGCACTAACAGCTGTCTGAAAGAGTTTCTTGAGTGTTTTTTCTTTCACATTGAACGGCAAATTGCTCACAAATAAGGTTTTACTTGGAGGAGCTGTGAGAAAGAAGAGAGATCTTTTGTAAACACAGGTAAATCACAAAATCCAGATTTAATTGATTGATGTACAGATTTTTTTAAAATAACAATTCAATAGCTATAGCATGAGGTCATCCATCGACGGTACATTTCTAAATGTTCAGTGATTTACCTTCTTCTTCGTCGGGATTAGCGTCGATGACTTTAGGAACATCTGGTTTTTCGACAGAGTCCACAATCAAAATCCGGCCTTGAATCTCAACTCCTTGTTTTTGTTGGCATACATTATGAGCAATCATTTTGTTTTCAAACTCCACAAAGGCAATGCTGTTGAAAAATAAGGACATTTCAAGTAGTATTAATTATAAATATCCAATAAATGCATGTTTAGATTTTTAGATTATCATAACCATTGCATTCCTAAATATAATACTTTTAAAACTAATTGGATCTTTTTGCACACCAATGTATAGTGAGGAAGTGGACCTCAACGAAGGTGTTTTTAGTCTCTCACCCTTTCTTTGGGCCATCAGTCCCACCAGGAAACCGAACATCGACGGCCTTTTGGAAGATTTTCAGAAGGTCTTCTTTTGTTGTGTTGTACGGGATGTTCTTCAGAAACAAACATTTCTCATCTTTGGTTGCTAAACACAGCACAGTACTCAAGTTAAACATTTAATCTTTATCACCCTCCTTGGACAATATTATGTTTTGTATTAATCGTTTTACATTCACAGATCATTATATCATAAATCCATTATTCTAGCAGTTAATGGAAAAAATAGTTTTATAGACTAAACGATGAATTTCCTTCTTGTAGATTTAACATACAGTACAAGCTGCACCGTTATATAATATGGCAAGTTACACAGAAGTTAAATAAATGTGTGATCAAACGATTACAGTTAGTCGAGTTACCTTTTTTGTTTTTTGCTGGAGCTTTCTTCTGAACCATCTCCTCACTTTTGACCTTTGCTTTGGCGATCTTCATTGGCTTATCATGCATCATTTCTCCATTTAGCGCCAAACCTTTGGTCAAGTCCATCTCTGAGGCCAAATCTACATGTGCATGTTTTCTACAACAGCAAAACATTACATCAGAGTTTATTTAGTATTTAAAGCAGCAGCAATATTACTTTGAAATGGATGAGACAAACGACATCTAATGCACCTACTAGAGGGTTTCCTGCCTAAAGGGAGCAGACAGTAAAAATGTTAAACAGCGTACTCACTTGGACCGGTGTACTCTGATGTCTTGAACCAGGAGACTTTGTGTCATGAAGTAACTTGCTAATGAATCTTTGACTTCATCGAATGTTTTGGAGTTGTTCAGGTTGCCAACATAAAGACAATATCCTACAACAAAATAAGAGTGAAATGTGTGAGGGCAGGAGTATAAGTTACAGGACGAAGCATTTAGCAGTCTGTCTGATTCTGAGTTCATACCATCATTGATGAGCTTGGTTTTCTTTGCCGGGGAGGCCTCAACAGAAGAGGGGGCCTTCCGTTTCCCTTTTACTGCAACCGAATAAAAAGTGTTATAACTACGTCATAACTAACTAAAGTGCGTACAAATGGTAAACAGCGTTCACAATTTCTAGTCTCTCCTAACTTTTTCGTACTTGACACCTATCATTAAGACTTTATGCTGCACAAGAACACCTTTTTTATTTTTACAACTTCAAGATATACGCAATCTGCCGCGTTGGTATTTGTTTCAGTTTGGTATTTTAATGAATGTTCAGAGTTTCAATGTTAAATGTGTTGCTGTAGTGCCAGAAGGAGGAGACTCATCCTCATTACACATCATTTGACACCACTCGCACTCTCACTCAGACACTTTTGTGTGGTGTCATTTTTGCAGTACCTCCAGATTCCTGCACCTCTTCCTTCATCTCTGTATCTGCACTCTGAACGGGAGCGTCCTCTGTGGAGTCGACTGCGTCAGCTGAAGAGAAGATCTGAGTTAGTTTTTCTGGCAAAAACAGTCATGATTTGATTTAAAGACAGTGGAAACCAGGTTTGCAGCCTCCATTGAAGCCTAAAGAGGGCGAGTGTTTCACAGGTGAGAAAGATAGAGTACCATCATCAGCGTTTAGACTAACATAACACCTGCAACTTAAATGACAAGACACATACCCGTTGATTAGAAAAACAATAAGATTTATTTGCTCTCTTTTTGACCTGAAGAGTAAGTAGGATCTTTAAGATTAAAAACATAAAGACTAACATATCACCTGCAAAATGAATGATGAATATTTTTCAGTAGAGGACTAATATATAAAAAAAAAAGATAATGCAATAGTAACTTTTGATTGTTGTAAACATCCTTACCACTGTCCATCATCTGATCACTTGCATTAGTTCCCTTTTCTGTATCATCAACTTCTCCTCCCTCGTTCTTCTTGTCCCAGGATATAGTCACAGTGGACGTAATTCCCTTTACTTCAATGACAGTGTCCATCTGACGATCTAAAGATGCAGCTTTGTTACTGGCACAGCTCAGAGTTGTAATCGGACATCTTGTGTAATGCATTTTTCTTGTACGGTACCTTGTTCAGCTTGGTCCTCTTTAGGAGCACCCTCCACTGTTAATATATTGAATTATATAATGTTATTGTCATTATTGAGTCGTCATATTTACTGTCATTTTTCAATTGTTTTAAAGACATTACTTGCCAGTTTTGACATTGTCCACTTCTTCTACATCTTCAATGGTGTCCACTTTGCTTTGTCGTTTACTACGTCTTGTAGCCTGAAAAAGACACAAACACCTTAACCAAATAATGAGACTGTGTTCTTGTGCGCAAGCCTAACACCAAAAATGTCAAATACTGATTAACTTGTCAATTCGTTGTTAAGATTAAATTACCACCATGCCTTAAAGTAATGGAATATGAAAATAACCACGCCACAGGGCCCAAAGGCCCTCACATAGTCAAATTATGCGTGTAGTGAATGTAAGCAGCAAATCCTCACATTTTACAGGCTTAAACCAGTGAACGTATTTAATTATCGCTTAGTAACTACTTAAAAACTTGTAAATGATTATCAAAATTGATATAAACTAAAATCAGTTTCTGTCAATCGACTAACAAATTCTAGTGTTAAATGTAATAACGTTACTGTGACGATGTACCCACTTAAAAACATACAGACACGTTTTCCAGTTGTAAGTTACCCACTTGAAACAGTGCTTGTAACGTTTGGCATAACCGTTCATAACCAGTTTATCGCCAGCTAAGCTAACCAACTGTTAGCTAGCTTGTTAGTTTGTAGATATCGTTAAAAACACGTTTAGCGTGGAAAAATCTACTCGGTGCCAGTTGAAGCCCGGTTAATATAAAAGTAAAGTAATGTAATACTTACGTTTTCCTTCGCCATATTTTTTGTTCGAACACCACGAGATCGTAAGCGTCGTAGCAGAAAATACACGTGTGTTGAGCTCAAAACATCCGCATGAGACCGGTTTGCTCTACGCAGTGCGCTAGCGTGGTCCTGTACTACGGGTGCCCACAGGAATTTCAGCTTTAGGCGATTCACCCACGACAACTTTCAGTATCTCCCCCTGAACAGAGTGACACTACAGTGTACGGGATCACTGCTATGAGCACATATATGGTAAATATTTGGGTAGCAGGTGAATAATGTTTAGAGAAAAGGCTTAATAAGGAAGTTTTTCTTAGCAGCTAACCGCTAAATTTGTATTTTCTGACTGCTAGCTAAGTAGCTAATTAGCTTAAACCGACTCATGAGTTGGTCAACTCCCCCATCAGCTCGCTTTATGTGTTACAGTACACAACTATGTTAGACTTATACTGTTATCCAAAGACGAAAAACCAAATACAATATTAGAAGAAGAAGAACATAAACCTTGTTGTGACTTTGTATTTACGATACTGTAGTATAGTATTTCGTCCTCTGATGACTATGTAAGCCTTCCGTAGTTGTGCACTTGAGAAGATAAAAACATATTACATTTGTGGATTGTGGGTGTAGCTTGCCTAACGAAAGCATTTCCTCTAAAATTCCTAATTGTTACTCCCTTGTTCCACTGTACCTACATTTAAGTACCTGTAGGAACTGGTAAGAACGTATATGTACTCATTCATATAACAATAGTCCACTGTAAGTTAAGTGGACTCACACAGTAAGTGCCAGGTAATTACACTGTAAGTTGCAGGCTGTATTATGTTACCCTTCTTTTATAGCATTGTTGAAGGGAGTTGCTTCTCTGTAATTGTTGTGCAAAGGAACATGGAGAACTTTAAACTTTTAATCCAACAGGTAGAACTGGAACTGGACAAAGAATCCGCGGTACAAAGGTTACGTTGCAGCCTCAGCACGTCAACTCACTTTATGTAGATAAGGTATCGATTCCGGTCATCCATTCAGGCTGTACACAAGACCAATATGAGCTGACCATGGAGGATGTGGGACTGATTTGAGGACCAGTAGGACATACGTTTCAACAATGGGAAGTCAGAGGAACGGTTTCAAGAAGGAATGCTTCATTTTGTCAGTGGACGTTGGGACAACAACAATCAGATGTCACGTCTATGACAAGGAGGCAAATGTCCGAGGATCATGCTCCACCAAGGTATTCTTCACCCTCTCGCTATGAAGGTATATTTGTGTCTTTATTACGCAAACAAAAAAAAAAGTT